AGCTCTGTCCAGAACCCTCTTTTGTGATCCTGGTCAGAGCAGTCAGTGGTGGTAGCCAGGCACCATCTAGCTGTACTGGACTCAGTCCGGTGGAGGCCTTGGTAGCTGTGGACCATTAGTCCTTTGGATTAATGTTTTCCTTGTATCCTGTTCTCTTCATTGTCCCTTGCTCCCGAAGGGATGAGACCAGTGGAGTATCTTAGATGGCCACTCACAGGCTTTTAAGACCCCAGACACTACTCACCAAGGTAGAATGTAGAACATTGTCTTTATAAACTGTTTATGCCAATTGAGCTAGATGTTCCCTGAGTCCATGGTCCCCAGAGCCCTCCGCCCAGCAATTCAGTCCCTCAGGGAGTTTGGATGTGTCTGTGGGGCTTCCATGATTAAGTGCATATATTAGTAAAGAAGAATGGCTGAAAATTAATGAGCAAACATCCATCTCAGGAAATTAGAAAAAGAACAGTAGAATGAATCCAAAGAAAGCAAAAGGAAGAAATGCAAATGTAAAAGTAGAAATTAATGAAATAGAAAATAGAGTATCTATAAAGTCAAAAGTTGGTTTTTGGAAAAATCTAATAAAAATGATAAACTGCTGGCAAGATGATCAAGAAAAAATAACAGGCACAAATAATTCATCTAAGAAATAAAATGGGGGACATCACTATAGGTCTTGCAGACATTAAAATAATAAGAGGATAAGTACCATATATTTTTTTTTGCAAATAATGTGCCCACACATGTAGTGTTTGGAAATGATGAAATTAAGTAAAACAGTTCTGGCATAGTGCACCCATACATGTACTGTGCACGTTTGGACATTTCCAGAAGTGAATTTCGGCCTCATTCACCTGTCCTCTCACATTACAGGTAAATCATATCTTTCTGTTTGGTTTCTTTAATCTCCTGTTTATGTGTATAAAAATAGTCTAAAAATGTTACTTTACATCATAATTATATAATAAAGTATAAGCCATGGTCAAGAAGTCATGGATCGAGTTTGGTTGTTCCCTGGTAATTGAAAAGTAAACAGTAGAAACTGTGCATGTGTTTCCATTAATTTAAGTTGATAATTATAGCACATTAGCTCAACAGTTGAATGTGAAAACTATATCAAATCCTTGAAAGTGAAAGCATTAAGTTATGTTAGATTTGCTTGTTTCGTAGATTAATTATGCCTCGTTAGTGTCATTTGAGGAAACCCTGGTGGCATAGTGGTTAAGAGCTACAGCTGCTAACCAAAAGGTTGGCGGTTCGAATCCACCAGGTGCTCCTTGGAAACCGTATGGGGCAGTTCTACTCTGTCCTATATGGTCGCTATGAGTTGGATTTGACTCAATGGCAACGGGTTTGATTTTTTTTTTTCAGTGTCAATTTAAGTCAGCAGCATGTTAAAAAAAATTGGCATTGCACGCTTACAAAAATAACTAGTGGTGGGGGTGGTGTGTTTGGCAAAAAAAAGTATAACACACACATTATTTGCAAAAAATACAGTAACTATGTCCATAAATTTGACAATTTAAAGGAGTAAATTCCTTGGAAAACACAACTGACCAAAACTGATAAGAAGAAAATGAAAATCTGAATAATTCCATAGCCGTTAAATTTAATTTGTTTTACAAAAATAAAAAACAAAACCAACTAACCAAACAATAATAACAGCAAAAACTGCAGGCCTGGATGATTTACTGATGAACTCTACCAAAATTTTAAGAAAAAAAAAAAATGCCTATCTTTCATGAACCTTCAAGAGAGTAGAAAAATTCATTTTTTTGAGGTCAGTGTAACTTTGATTGCAAAACCAGATGAGAACATTGTAAGAAAAGAAATTTATAGGTCAATTTCACTTCTGAATATAGATGCAAAAATTCTAAACAAAATATTATAAATAAAATCCAGCAATATATAAAAAAGATAATACATACAGACTAACTTTATTCTAATAATTCAAGTTTGTCTTAACACACTAAAGTTGATCAATGTAGTCACCACTATTCATTCAAAGAATAAAGAAGGAAATTCATGTTATCACCTCAATAGATACAAAAAGTAAAAAAAGATTTTGATGAAATTCAATATTCAGTAATCAAGAAAATAAAAGGCATAAGGACTGGAACAAAGAAATAAAATTATTACTACATCTGGATTATATGATTGTGAGCATAGAAAATAAAAAAGACTAAAAACTATTAAAATTACTAAGTTGGTTTAGCTAGGCTGCTGGATACAAGGTCAGTATGTAAAATTTGGATTTCTATGTATATATATGTGGGTTGTTGGGTTGTTATTATTAATTTATAGGGACTGTATATACTTTGGAAATGAGTCTTCTGTTAGTTATTTGTGTTGTAGATATCTTCCATTCTGAAGTTTGCCTTTTCATTTTATGTATATGAACTGGTAGTTCATTCCATATGTGTGAGTGTATATGTGTGTGTATAATACCATTTTCAAAGCTTCAAAAGTATCACATACCTAGGAATAAATTTAACAAACTATACTCACCAATAAGATGTTTTCGTGATAGTTAAAAAAAAAAAAAAACCTAAAGGAGCCCTGGTGGTGCAGTGGTTAAGCACTTGGCTGCTAACTGAAAGGTCAGAGGTTTGAACCCACCAGCCGCCCCATGGAAGAAAGATGTGACAGTCTGCTTCAAAAAAAATGGAGAGAGTTACCATGCTTATGACTGGGAGATTCAATATGGTAATGGTGCCAATAACTCCCAAATTGATCTATAGATTCAATGCATTACCAACTAAAATCACAACAGATTTTTGTTTTGTTTTTGAAACTGACAAGCTGATTCTGCAATTTATAAGAAAATGCAAAAGGCCAATAATAACTAAGACACTCTTAAAGAACAGCAAGGAGGAAGGACTTGCTCTCCTGGCTACAAAGATGTATAATAATATTTAATATAGTGTGTTATTGGTGCAAGGATAGACAAAGACAATGGATCAGAATAGAGAGCTCTGGAACAGAACCACTCCTATGTATATGTGTGATTGTTGACAAAGTAACATTGCCGATTATTTCTCCAAGATAAACTTTTAAAAAATGGTGCTAGGTCATTTGGATATCCAGATATTAATGCCAAGTAGACTATAGACCTAAAATGTGAAAGACAAAGCAATAAAGATTTTAGATAATAATAAGGAGAATATTTTCATGATAATGTAGGAAACATTTTTTTAAAACAGGCCACAAAATCACTATCAGAAGAGAAAATATAAAATTAAAAAATATATGTTCCTCCAATTGCTCTGTTAATTAATGAAGGTGAAAATGCAAACCTCGAGGTGTACGATATTTGCAACACAAATAACTAACACGAGATTCATTACCAGAGTATATAAAGAGTCTCTATAAATTAATAACAGTAGTAATAATGTTAATAACAGCCCAATAGAAAACAGTGGGCAAGCAACTTGAACGAGTACATTACAAAAGAGGATTTCCAAATGACCAATAAAAAAAAACCTGTTGCCGTCGAGTTGATTCTGACTCATAGCGACCCTTTAGACACATACGAAGATCCTCAAACTCATTATTAATTTAGGAAATGAAAATCCTATAATGAGATACCACTACCTATCTACCCAAATGGCTAAAATTAAAAGACTGACAGTGCAAAGTGGTGGCAAAATATGGAGCAACTAGAACTCTCATACAGTGCTGATAGGAATATAAATTATGGTGTATCCACACTATGAAATGCTGATATCCATTGGGGGAAAAATCAGAAATGTGTTTATATGCTGACATAGAAAGTTGTTCATGCTATATATTTTTAGATGAAAAATTGAAACCCATAATAAATATTCATGGAATGATCTCATTTATCTAAAAAATAGAGGAGGGGATGTAAAGTAATGGCAACAGTGTGGCCATAAAAATTCTGGCTGCAACAATTTAAATTCCCAAGCCAAGCATGCATTAACATTATTTATGCTTTACTTCTTTGTGCCTGTAAATTATATAGCCTAGGTCCTCATACATTCTTAGCTTCTGTGAATGTGGGAAACTAGTTTTATCCATAAAAAGCTTTGTTCTTGGGATTACTTTGGAAAAAAAATGATAAGATAGTGCAATGAGCAAATATAGACCAAAGAGTACAGGTACAGGAATGGGGGAGCTGAGGAGAGCCAGAGAAGGTTATAGGGCCCAGAAGGTGGACCGAGAGCAAAGTACTGGATTCATGGTTGAAAGGAAACTAGCAGTTGTGGTGCAGGCAGTTTTATTTCCTCATCTTCATCTGAACAGCCCATCCAGACTTAAGCACTGCTTTCTGCACTTAGTTCTCTGCAGCTCCAAGGAAGAGAGGGTTCTGACGGTCTGATTGTCCCTCACCCCAACGAATCACTTGCTCAGCCTGGGATTCCCAACATCCCTCCTGTTCTGTGCCAGGTAGTTAGTACTGTTTAGTCAGATTGGAAATTACCAAGGTTCTGTCACCTGAACAGAAGTAGTAGGTGCAAGGCAGGTTGGTGAGCCTGGGACCTTTTTCTTTTGCTGAAAGAACATGGTGCTCCTGGAGCTGTATTCAGTAAACGGTTGTCACATCAGAGTTGTGGTTTGGCTCTGAGATCTCTCTGAGTCAAGGGGGCACTGAGTCAGGGAAAGAGCATGCTTAAATACAAGAAGATTTGAGTGCAGGACAAGGTGATTTTATATCCATATGCTTAAGCCTAGCATATTTCCTAAACTGCTTGCTGGTTCATTCCTCTATTCATTCATTTATTCATTCTTTCAACCCATGTTTATTGAGTCCTGCTATATACTCTCAGATGGTGGTATACTTATAAGTGGCCGTATATCTGTTTCAGTGTTGTTGGATGTCAGGGAATTCATTTTTTACCCCCAGTCATATGTACCATTTGCCTCTCTGTTATTTCCTGGTAACTGTTTTTGTGTGTTATGCCTTATAAAGCATTTCTCAAGAATCAGAATTATGGTATGCTATTAAACCCAATCGCTCATTTGAACTTTTTTATTTGTAGGTTGAATCACCGGACAATGTCGCATGCTTTGTGGATACTGTGGGCCTTGGGGGCCATAATCACCCTCTCCAAAGGAGGGTCCCCTGATCAGGCTTTTCTGTCTTGTGACCCCACGGGTGTCTGCGATGGCTCCTCCAGGTCTTTGAACTCCATTCCCTCAGGGCTCACAGAAGCTGTGAAAAGCCTTGACCTGTCCAACAACAAGATTGCATATGTTGGCAACACTGACCTTCAGTTGTGTGTGAACCTCAAAGCTCTGATTCTGAAGTCCAGTGAAATTAATAGAATAGATGAAGATGCTTTTCTTCCCCTTGGAAGTCTTGAACATTTGGACTTATCCTATAATTACTTATCTAATTTATCATCCTCCTGGTTCAGGCCCCTTTCTTCCTTGCAGTTCTTAAGCTTACTGGGAAATCTTTACAAAGAACTTGGGGAAACATCTCTTTTTTCTCATCTCACAAATTTGCGAGTCCTGAAAGTAGGAAACATTTACACCTCTAAGATTCAGAAAAAGGATTTTACTGGAATAACTTTTCTTAAGGAACTTGAGATTGATGCTTCAAATCTCCAGAGTTATGAGCCAGAAAGCTTGAAGTCAATTCAGAATATAAGTCATCTGATCCTTCATATGAGGCAGCCTATTTTACTGCCGGCGACTTTTGTAGATCTTTTAAGTTCCTTGGAATATTTTGAACTGAGAAATACTGATTTGCACACTTTGCATTTTCCAGAACTACCCATCAGTGAAACCAACCCACTGATTAAAAAGTTCACCTTTAGGAATGTGGAAATCACTGATGAAAGTTTTAATGAAGTTATGAAACTGTTCAGTTCTGCCTCTGAACTTTCAGAATTAGAGTTTGATGACTGTACCCTTAATGGAATCGGTAATTTTGATTCATCTGTTATAGAGAAAATTAAAGATCCAGGTAAAGTAGAAACATTAATAATACGGAAGTTGCATATTCCACAGTTTTACTTATTTAATGATTTGAGTAGTATATATTCACTCACAGGAAACCTTAAAAGAATCACAATAGAAAACAGCAAGGTTTTTCTGGTTCCTTGTTTACTTTCACAGCATTTAAAATCATTAGAATACTTGGATCTGAGTGAAAATCTGATGGTTGAAGAATACTTGAAAAATTCAGCTTGTAAGGATGCCTGGCCCTCCCTACAAACCTTAATTTTAAGGCAAAATCACCTGACATCATTAGAGAAAACTGGAGAAACTTTGCTTACTCTCAAAAACCTGACTAGCCTTGATATCAGTAAGAATAGTTTTAAGTCTATGCCTGAAAATTGCTGGTGGCCAGAAAAGATGAAATATTTGAACTTATCCAGCACACAAATACATAGTTTAACCTATTGTATTCCCCAGACACTGGAAATTTTAGATGTTAGCAATAACAATCTCAATTCATTTTCTTTGATGTTACCACAACTCAGAGAACTTTATATTTCCAGAAATAAGTTGAAGACTCTACCAGATTCCACCTTCTTACCCATGTTACTAGTCATGAGAATCAGCAGGAACACAATAAATACTTTCTCTAAGGAGCAATTTGAATCCCTTCAAAAACTGAAAACATTGGAAGCGGGTGGAAACAACTTCATTTGCTCCTGTGAATTCCTGTCTTTCATGCAGGAGCAGCAAGCACTGACTAAGGTCTTGGTTGACTGGCCAGAAAACTACCTGTGTGACTCTCCATCCAATGTGCGGGGCCAGCGAGTTCAGGACACGCGCCTCTCGGTTGCTGAGTGCCACAGGGCAGCCCTGGTGTCTGCTGTGTGCTGTGCCCTTCTTCTGTTCATCTTGCTCATGGGTGTTCTGTGCCACCGTCTCCATGGGCTGTGGTACATGAAAATGATGTGGGCCTGGCTCCAGGCCAAAAGGAAGCCCAAGAAGGCACACAACAGGGACATCTGTTACGACGCTTTTGTTTCTTATAGTGAAAGGGATTCCTACTGGGTGGAGAGCCTTATGGTCCAGGAGCTGGAGAATTTCGACCCCCCCTTTAGGTTATGTCTTCATAAGCGGGACTTTGTTCCTGGCAAGTGGATTATTGACAATATCATTGACTGCATTGAAAAGAGTCACAAAACCGTCTTTGTGCTTTCTGAAAACTTTGTGAAGAGTGAGTGGTGCAAGTATGAACTGGACTTCTCCCATTTTCGTCTCTTTGATGAGAACAATGATGCTGCCATTCTCATTCTTCTGGAGCCCATTGAGAAGAAAGCCATTCCCCAGCGGTTCTGTAAACTGCGGAAGATCATGAATACCAAGACCTACCTGGAGTGGCCCAATGATGAAGCTCAGCAGCAAGGGTTTTGGCTAAATTTGAGAACTGCAATAAAGTCCTAGTTTCCTTCATTAAAGGGCAGTTTGGGCCTAGTTCTGGTCTTTATGTCACTAGTTGTAACTAAGTTCATTCTGACATAACTACATAAAAACCACATGAATGTACATTGGCATTTGAGGACTTACTAAAACTGTTAACATTTTATTTGGAATGCTGTTTTTAAAAAAATTGCTACCAAATTGAAAAATGGCTTTTAATTATTCTTTAAGATAACCATGATGTAACTCTATTATTGATACCCGAATTATCTGTAGCGATCAGCTTCTTCATTAGGAAATAGCAAATGAACTGAGGATTTGAAATGAAGGTGTCAAGCCAGTAAGCTCTCTGTGAGGAGACTCTCCCATGTCTGCCTAGAGAGTGCCTTCTCTGTGCCATTCATCTGAGACCACCTTCTGGGCCAGTGCGCTAAAGAGTGAGAAGGCAAACTGTTGGGGTCACTCAGCCAAACTTGGTATTCTTAGAAGAATGTACTGTTTGTTCCTATCAAAGTTTACGGAATGGGCCCTTAGAGGGTATATTTTCCTGTGAACTGGGTCTGTCTCTTGGGTATTAGGTTTCTCCAGCTGCAGTTCTTGAGAGAAGGTATGTGACACAAAATACAGTCAATTATGTCTTTGCATTAAAAAATAAAATTACTAACGTAAATAAAATTTTCAGTTTATGAAAGCTTGAAAGAAGTGTCTCACATCCATGACTGCTCTTTCTTCAGTCTTTCACTGCCTGTTAAATTCTAACTAGTCTCTAGTTTCCCATCATTTGGCTTTCAATCCCTGCCTTCTAGTCTGTCTCCCCTGAATATTGTTGCTTTTTTCTTCTTTGTAAAGGCTTATTTCTAATCCTAAAAAGGCCCTCCTTTTTTGTGTTCCCCTCTGAATATTTAACAACATAGATGTGAGCTAAATAGATTTTTAAACAAGATGGGGTTGCCATGAGTTGGAATCATTTTGATGGCAAATAACAACTAATATATCTGGAGGTTCCTCATAATGTCAAAGAAAGAAAATAGTTTAATACACAGTGATTTAAAAGATAGATACTACTACATACATTATAATTAAGATTGAATAATACATTAAAAATAAATGCAGTGTTCCTTGCTAAGAGCTGTTTATGGATTCTGTTCACCTTTCTTCTAAAGCTGGGAACCACATGTGAAAGGAAGTAACCTGCTCTTCGCTCAGTTCTCAGCCAGAGTACGGTTATGTAGTTATTAGGTAGGGCTCTGGATTCAGAAAGACCTGAGTTAGTAGATGTGTAACAATGGGCGAGTCACTTGACCCAAATGTTTTCCTGTCCTTAAAATGGAGATAATGATACTACTTCACAAGGTACTGGTAGTATGAAATGCAGTAATGTAAGTACACACTGATCACACGCCCCTTGGTTACCATTCACTGTGGAGGGGCTAGGAAGGAGAGTACCAAGCCTTTGAGAATGGGAACAATGGGGTGTCTGTAGGTGGGAGGGATGCCTGTAGGAGATGCTAGCTATTATGATTATTATTATTTTCCCAGAAGTGACTAATTTCCTTATATACTATGGTCTTTTTGTGTATGAATGCTAGCAGGGATATAAGAGACCCTGTTGTTTGCCGAAAAATACTCGAAGAAGTAAGTTTGCTAAGGCTTTGGTCCTTGAGAAACACACATATACATATATACAATCCTGTATACCCTCAGATACACTCGCAGGAGGGTGTTAGAGAAGATACAGCAGCCAGCCTAAGGAAAAATGGGCAAGCCCAGGAGAAGGAAACCTGAGATTAGGGGAATGCATAGGCCACAGAAACCAAAACCATGAATGGACTTTTTGCTTTACTTCTCTGTTTCCTACATTAAGCACAATGTCAGTCATCATGAGAATCTGATAAATTGACTGGATCTATATATTTAATTGCAAGAATTTAAACAGCAATAGAAATAGCTTTATATTTAATTGATAGATCTAAAATAATATTTCTTAAATAACCTTTATATTTTTCATTGCAAATGTTAAACATGTTCACTGTAGAAATTTTAGAAAAGAGATAAGAGCATAGGAAACAATATAAGTCAGCTCTTTTCCCACCACCTTGGGATAACCACTGGTAACTTTGTTTAATGAATAGGTACGTATTACTTTACAAAACTGGGATTAGATTGTAAATATTTAAAATGTGTAAGGAAAATGGCATCTTCATGTTTTTATGAGATTGTTTTGTGATTATCTGACATTTCTGAACTCAGGGTCATTTAAGATTGCACGCAGATACATACTGGTTTACTTGCCCAGATCTTTAATCTCATGCAGCTGTCCATAGAAAGTAAGTAGAAAATACATCAGAGATCAGTTTGAGGGCTCCTTTTACAGAAGAAAAACTAATTTGTATATAGTGCTCTTTATTTGACTGTGAAGTCTTCTATTATTCAATAGATTATAAATTCAAGAATCTTCTTTTATCTCCTTAACCCCTGCACATGCTTGGTGTGTAAAAAGTATTGGATTATTGAAATATTTGTTGAGTAGATAGATAAACCAGAGTTAAATCTTCTAATAATCTGGATGGTGATACTGAAGCACTGGCAGTTTCAAGAAGGAAAATAACCAACTAGTAGAAATCTTAACGTGAATTATCTTCATTACAACTATAATGGAACTTGGAACAGCATTAAGCATGTTGCTAACATTTTTGACAAGGAAAATAATGGCCAGTGATTTCCTTTCTACTTCATACAAGTATATATTCTTCAAGTATTGCATAGTGGATGTTTGGTATTATGTATACGGTGTTGCCTATTTAACTATTGACTAGTAACTTAAAATGTGTTAACTTCAGGAGTCCAACATATCATTCTTGGGTTAATTCTTGCTGACTGGTCTTCCCCATTCCCTCCTGCTGGATTAAATCATTCTTCTAACAAATATTTATTGAGTGCTTACTATGTGCCAGGCACTGTTCTAAGTGCTGTGGAAACAGTAGAGAACAAAACAGACAAAATTCATGGAGTTTACGAATCTTGATAAGTGCTATGAAGAAAATAAAAGCAGAGTAAGAATAGAATGGCACGAGAGAGGAGAGGGATTCTGTCCATTTCAGAGCAGGTCTTGGAGTGGGGCGAGTGTGTTCAGCAGCCCCTGGAAGCCCAGTGCAGCTTGGCCCACTGAGGGACCCATGGCAACTGGTGCCAGAGGCTTTGAGAGTAAACTCCTCTGTGCCCAAACCACCATGTGGTGCCAAGCACATAGAGCAGAAAAGATCCTATCTTTAACCATAGATTACTTAACAATTTCTACCTAGTTGAACTAATGAGAAGATATTAAAATAACCAGTTTCTGTCAGTCGATTTCAACTCATGGTGGCCCCATGTGTGTCAGAGTAGAACTGTACTCCAGAGGGTTTTTAAAGACTGTGATCTTTCAGAAGTAGATCACCAGGCCTTTCTTCCGAGGTGCCTCTGGGTGGATTTGAACCACCAACCTTTCAGTTAGTAGCCGAGCACTTAACCATTTGCGTCAACCTATTAATTATAATGTATGTGAGAAGTACTTTGCAAAGCTCTTTGCAAACACTGTACAGATAGCATTATTATCAGCCAACCTGGAGGTAGGATGTGTGGTGCAATAAAATGTGTTGCAAGCGTGGGTTAGAAAACAACTGTAATGGGAAAGATGAAAAAAACACACTTTATTTGTTTATTCCATTGTTCAGCTTCTCTTTAAATTCTGTCCACATAGACATATTGTTCTAAGGGACACCAATTAATTCAGTTCTCTCGACTCTTGGAATCATTGCTAAAATTAAAAAAAAAAAAAAAAATAAGTATTAAATGTAGATTCAAAGATTTAAAAATATTCCAACATGCAATACATTGCTTCTGGGGTAAGTCTGCTGGACTATTCCAGCCCTAGTGAATAGTTAATGCCTTGAACTATTCCTATCACCACAGGTTGCCAGGCGACCAAATAACGAAGCCAATCCAGGATTTGTCCATACAAAAAATGTGTGTGCTCCCAGCTAAATCTCTGTTAAGGAGGATGCGCTATATAAACCCAAATGGCAGAACTTTTCATAAATATCATTTGCAAATATAATGATAAAGTGGTATTCCCCTTTTTGTTAATCCTTATTAATTGCATGATTTTTATAGATAGATAAGATTGTTATTTATACCACACCTATTTTTAAAAATAAATTGAGTTTACAATAAAATCCCAAAGTATAAAGCAAGAATAAAAGGCAAGGGTAATATACTAAAAGGAGGAGGAAGAGGGTAATGACTATCCTGAAAAAACCAAGGATAATAGAAATTACTAGAATGGAGCAAAAACTTAGCACGGGGCTTTCCTGCAGCCAGCTCATCAGAGGAAACTTGCTATACATTAAAAAGAATCACACCAGTTCAAGAGATAAGTCACGCTTTCCTGGTTATGATCTTTGATAAATTGTGGTAAGGGAACCCAGAACTAAAACCATTCCTGAAGCCCACTCTTCAGACAAAGATTAGACTGGACTATAAAACATAAAATAATACTCATGAAGGGTATCCTGCTTAGTGCAAGCAGATACACAAGACCAAATGGGTGGCTCCTGTTTGGAGGCAGGATGAGAAGGCAGGACGGGACAGGAGCTGGTTAGATGGACATGGGAAACCCGGGGTGGAAAGGGGGAGTGTGCTTTCACATTATAGGGATTGCAACTAATGTCACGTAACAGTATGTGTATAAATTTTTGTATGAGAAATTAACTTGAGCTGTAAACTTTCATGTAAAGCATAATTTTAAAAACAATTCTGGTAAGGAAACTTAATGCATAGTATCTCTGATAGCAATTTTACAAACAAACAAAAAGCAGATATTTCACATGTAGCTTTTTCTTAAACAGAGCCTCAATAAAAAGTGTATTAATTTTTATTCTCTAAAGAATACATAAAGATTCCAACTGCCCTTTGTTATTTACACTGTCATTTAAGGTGACATTTATGCTCATACTAAGCACCAAGTTTATACAGAAGGTTTATGTACTGCAGTTTTATGAGTAAGTCATTAACCAAAACCTGTTCTGGACCCGTCTTCTCATATGAGAAGGGAAAGTCAGGGACAGTGGATGAAAGAAAGAGCAAGGTGCATCGTGTACCTTTATTTGGCCTTGAGTTGCGCTGACTCACAAGAAAGGCCAGGCCTGGAGATGGAGTGGGTGGCTGCCAGAGAGTGCTCTCTGTCGCTGTAGCATGGCCCTAAGACCTAAAGACCCCTCTATGCCGCCCCCTTCTCTGATGTCCTACTTGAGAGTCTTTCCTTTGGTTTGCAGTGCTCAGAGATGAGGGCGTTACTGTCAGTAGCCATTGTTAACCTGGACATTTAGGGTAGGTGAAGAGCAGGGGAGCATGGAGCAAGGAAGGCTGTGAAATATAAGTGGCCGTCACTCAGAAAGTACTGAAGGGCCGTCTCAGGAAAAGAGGGAGTACTTGGCAGATCGGTGCCTACCTCTCAGGGCTCTTCTTCTTACGGGGGCTAGGGAGGGGGGTTATGTTTAATCCCATTTACCCCCTGGAAGAGATATACTATGGTGTTAGGACTGTGGGTTTGATGAGTAAGCCTTATTAGTCAGCTCTGGATAGGGCTGTTACCTTCCTGTGAATTTAATGAGATTTGAGTTTATTCAGTTGGGAGTCCTTGGTGCCTATAAAAATCCTAGTTGCTGCCGTGAGCTGACCAAGTCTGTAGGTATTCTTACCAAGGCTTAGCCTAAGAAAAGATGAAGAATGGCAAGGAATTTAAAAAGTCAAAGTCCAAGGACAAAATCCTACTTGTCTCTGGAAATAATAAAAGTTGGTATATTCTAAAAATAATTTTCTATACTCTGATTCACATTTGGGGGCTTTAAAAATTTCAGTTCCACTGTATTTATCTACTCACTTATCCATTACAATGTTCCATCACTATACCCTTACAGTGGAAAATATGGAAGATAAAGAGTGCAATGTATCTTCTTTGGCACTTAACTTCATAACCAGAATACTAATACAAGTACAGGGAGAAAAGAGACCAATGAAATTTGTTTTGAAATAGATAGTTCAGGAAAACAGCAAGTTTCTGCTATAACTATACAAAGATAATGACATTTCAGATGGAAGAATGTATCACCAGAAACATTTAAGAAAATACCGTAATTTTTTTTTTTTTTTTAAAGGATATGGGTTGCTGATCATCCTCTTCAAATCAACTTTCTTTTTGCAGTAAGGACAAGTCTGCTGTTCACCAACAATACACCAACCTCGGATGCAGAATTCATGAAAGCTTAAGCATCTTGTTAGGGAAGCTGCTAGATATTAAAGAACAATGCCTGGTTCCTGATGACATAATGGAAATGATCGCATCTTTAGAGTCTAGTTGTGGAGGGTGAGAATGGCTGTCAGGCATGACTTTATTATGCACATCTCTTTTTTAGGGAGATTACTGTAGGACATTCAAACTTCCCAGGACAGTGAGCTTGGAGTCAAAGGTGCATTAGCTTTATGACCCTGAGGAATTTACTCAGTGTCTTCGCCTTATTTGCTCCTGTCACCTCACTTAAAGACTTCGAAAGTGCTTTTTTTCAATAATGCCTTATATGAATGTAAATCTGGTAAGCCAGACTTATATAATGTAAGCCCTATCTCACTTATTGTGCATTTCTTGTGTATTTACCATAGTCTTACCCTATTCTACTACTTTTTGTCCTTACTTATTGCTTACTATGCAGTCAGACTTGTGTCAGGCACTTAGAATAATTAAAATTATTTGTGGTTATATACCTTACCAATATTTCTATTAACTTCATACATTTTTTTTCCTCAACCTTATTACTGATAAGGAACCAATTATATTTAATAGAACTCATTAAACCCGTTGCTGTAGAGTCTGCTCGACTCATAGTGATCCTGTAGGACAGAGTAGAACTGCCCCGTAGGGTTTTTAAGGTTGTAAATCTTTATGGAAGCAGACTGCCACATCTTCCTCCTGCAGAGCAGCTGGTGGGTTCAAACCACCAACCTTTTGGTTAGCAGCCAAGTGCTTAACCACTGTGCCGCCAGGGTTCCTATTTAGTAGATCATAAACCTTATAAACTTGACTTCTCAAACTCTAGGCATTTAGAACTTGATTTGTATACATCACCTTGTCCAGAAAGCCTGAGCCTTCTCCCCCAAAGCTGAGAGTGAGCACCATGTTTTCCCACACAGGGACGGACTCTCATTAGAGCGCGAATGATGCTGTATCATGGCTTTCTGTGTACTTACATGTCTCTTTCTAGATCACACATCACTTGTGGGCAGAGACTAGCTTTTATTAATCTCTGTGTCCTCAGCACCCTAAGCAGTGACTAGAAAATATTTATTGAGTGAACATTTGAATGAATCACTCAAAACTGATTATTTTTGGGAAGTAGATACCAGAACAGGTGTGTGTATTTTATCAACCAAAAAAAAAAAAAAAAAAAACCCAAATCTGTTGCTGTTGAGTTAATTATGGCTCATAGCAACCTCATGTGTTACAGAGTAGAACTGCCCCATAGGGTTTTTTTTTGGCTGTAGTCTTCTATGGAAGCAGATCACCAGGCCTTTTCTTCATAGTGCCACTGGGTGGGTTTGAACCACTAAACTTTAGGTTAGTAGCCAAGAGCAAACTGTTTGCCCCACCCAGGGGCCTGTACCTTTTACCAGGTTCTCCAATATTGTAGATTGAGGCAAAATGATTAATAAGATCTGACTCATAGATTTGCTTCTATGATCCATGATCCCAATGTGGCTTTCTGGGCCAAGATCACGTGGTCTTCTGACTGGCCCGCTACGCTACACACCCTTGTGATCCACAATGATTTAGAAGGTCCCTTACTAACAAGCAGAGTATCCTGGAGGTATAGCCAAGTCAAGGTCATGTATGTAATTCCTCAATGTTAGATCTGTGTGCAACTAAGAGTTTCCACTATTTTATGTTCTTGGAATTGGGGTCACTTTTGCAAAATGCTTGGATTAACATAAAGTGGTGTATTATAACAAAGATTTTTCACCAAAATCCGCACAGCCTTCATTTAGAAGAGATGGAGTACAGCCCCCATCTTCTAGATAGGCATAACATTCAGAGCCATAGAAGCAGCGCTGAAATGTCCACCTGCTCTTTAATCCTTCCATCTTCTTTTTAATACCTCCTTTCATCTTCAAAATCTCAGTGCTGAAGAGCCTCCACGCTGGCAGAATTGCCGTAGAGCAACTGTCGGAGAACCCTCCTTGTTAGTATGACTCATGTTTGCCCACTCCTCACTCAGATGACTCATGCGCAAATGGGCCATTCATAATACTCCCTGCAAAGCAAATTTAAAGGTGACTACATTCTAAATTACACACACACACACCAGTACAACAATCCCTAAGGGCCTTTAAAGGTGGAGAGAAAAAATATTTCCACTTGTAAATGGCAGAAATGGCTCTGTTCCAAAATGTGAAAAGTAAATCAGATTTAAAATTAGGGCCAGACTTGGAAAATTTCTGCTAAGAATGATAGTTTTTTGGGAAAGGTATCACACTGAAAAAAACAGCATAGTATTCCATACGGGATATCTTTGTCTTTCTTCCCTTAGCATTTTAAGGCTTAAATGTTGGAGTAAGGGCTCCAATTACAGTTCAGATGCATTTGGTCCAGTTTTTCAGCCTAAGGATTGAATACGTGGACATTGTCCAGTTTGAACAGAATTGAATCATAGGCACTGCACATGTAGGATATTACAGACTGAGTGGGCTTCAGAGGCAAAAGACAGGATGGTTTAACAACCTCATAATACCAGAGATTTGAACTGACTGGGTATATAGTGATACTATTATAAAATTGATACGGTACTATCAAATAAAGATAAATAAGATAAATGCCTTATTATTACTATTATGATTTTGCATTTAGGAAAGAATTAAAACACTGACTGTGGGCCAATGCAAACGCAAGTTTGGTATCCATAGTGACATGCTCGGGCAGTACAGGCTGCTTTGTTCAGGGGTTTTGGTCCCAGCAACTTTCAGCACTGGTCTTCCTCGATGGTTACTTGTGTGCCCAGAGAATGCTGGTTTCCAGGCTGGAGCTTGCCTGGTACCTAAAGGATTCCAGCCAATAGGTGGCTATTTTGGGAGAAATTCATAGGCAGAGGGATCAAATAGTCCCCAGGTACTTAGATCACTCTCTTGCAAGGTAAGGTGTCGTGATGCCTGCAGCATTATCCTCTTTTCAAGGCCAAAGCTGATAAAAAGGCTTGATATTCTCTTCTGGATGTCCCCATTATTTTTATTGACACAAGAAAGTTCCTAGGATTACTTCTAGCAAATCACACTTGCATTTCTTGGTCTGGTAAGATTCAGACACGGGTCTCCACTGGATAGGCCTGAGCTCCTCCCTACACCTGAGCCTGCACTCTTTCCCTCACCTCCAAACTCCTTCTGTCCATGGTCCTTCTTGGCTGACTGTTCATTTACGGCTGTGGCTAACCCTTCTAGCCAACACCCTGCTAGATGCTGCTGTCTTCCTGTCCATGTGGTGTTAACAGGCCTCTCTAAAAACGGAAGCACTGGAGGAGGAGGCTCACCTTAATTAGCAGTTCTTTTGTCAGCAGGCATAATCAGAATGTCTCAAGACACTGGTGGGTGGGTTGGTAAAGGCCTAGGGTTTCAGGACTGGAGACAAGCGAGGCAGAAGGGAAGGGACGAGGGGGAGAGAAAGAGAGGAGGGTGATGAGATGGTCTTCCCTGCCTTGCTATGTCTCATGTACAACACAGATCAGTTGAAAACTACCTCCCAATGTTGGCTTGATGGAGGCCGAGCGGTTTCTCTTGGAAAGGGTACACATGATTCCATGAAAGTTGGTAGGTGTTTTCAATGAGTCCTTCTTCATCCAGGTCCACAATGATCTTCTGCCCGCAGACGGCACAGATGTTGTCTGACAAGCTCCTTGTAGGCATCTGCTGATGCTGTAGAACTGTTAAGGAAATGAGCACAGCACGGCTGGGAAGAAGCACATGTGCCATTCTCTGGAAACAAGGAAGTCACTGTCAGGCACTGGGCCAGACGGCCCTCTTCACTGTTTTTAAGTTGGTTTAGAACTTGAAAAGGAGCCCTAGTGGCGCAGTAGTTAAAACGTTAGGCTGCTAACCGAAAGGTGGGTGGTTGGAATCAATCAGCTGCTCAATGGGAGAAAGATGTGGCAGTCTGCTTCTGTAAAGATCTACAGCCTTGGAAACCTTATGGGGGAATTCTACTCTATCCTATAGGGTCACTATGAGTCGGGATCGACTTGACGGCAATGGGTTTGGTTTGGTTTTGATTTTAGGACTTGAAACACCTCTTTTCACAGGAACAGTGCTACAGTGGGGTTAAGGTTTCCAGGTCAGACAAAAACCTACTGAACTCCAAAGCACATGAACCCAGAGCACATGGCTAATTGTAACCATCAATCTAACCTCCACAATAGAAATCCTTCCAGTGGAATTGTTTTTGTCCAGGGATGTGCTTCAGCATCACACAGAAAGCTTTTGGGCTTGTCCATAACCTGGCCTTTCCCTCTATTCTCCTGAAATTCTGATTCATAGATCTGGAATAAGCCCAGGTATCTATATATTTTTTAAATTCCCATATGATTTGAAAAAGCACACAGATTAATCACTGTTGGAAGAAAACCCATTTAGAGTTCTAATTTGGTATACCTGCACCTTCCCAGTGCCATGGATGAGGGTGGCTCTCAACACTGGCAGCACATTAGAATCCATAGAGAACTAAAAAAAAAAAAAAAAAAAATTATTGTACAGTAGTTTTAGATTAAAGAACAAAAATGAAGATAGTACAGAAAGTTATCAAAATCTTACATTAGTATGGGACATTTGTCATGATTTTTGTTGTTGTTGTGTGCTGTTGAGTCTATTCTGACTCACAGCAACCCTACAGGACAGAGCAGAACTGCCCCATAGGGTTTCCTAGGCTGTAATCTTTATGGGTGCAGATCGCCACAATTTTTTCTCCCACCAAGCCACTAGGTGGGTTCAAAATGCCAAAGTTTTGGTTAGCAGCTTTAACCAGTGTGCCACCAGGGCTGCTTCATAATTAACGAGCCAATACTGACAAATTGTTATGAACTAAAGTCTATACATTATTCAGATTTTCCAAATTTTTACCTAATGCCCTTATTATCTTCCAGGAGCCCATTGAGGATACCATATTGCATTAATTGTCATTTTTCCTTAAGTTGCTTTTGGCTGTGACAGTTTCTTAGACTTTGCTTATTTTTTATGACCTTGGCAGTTTTGAGTAGTATTTTGCAGAACGCCCCTCCAAGTGGGATTTGTCTGATGTTTTTCTTATGGTTAGACTGGGGTTATGGGTTTTTGGGAGGAAGAACACACAGGTAAAATGCCATTCTCATCACATCATATCAAGGGCACATACTATCAACATGATTTATCACTGTTGATGTTAACTTTGATCATTGGGCTTGAGGCAGTGCTTGTCAAGTTTCTACACTGTATAGTTTCTCTCTCTTTTTTTTAACCAATTTCCATAATTAATATGAAGTCACTATATGCAGCCCATACTTAAGAAGTGGGAAGTTGGACTCCACCTCCTTGAGGGGACAGGGTCTACATAAATTATTTGGCATTTTTCTGCATGGGGGATTTATCTATTCTTCCCCATGTATTTATTCAATCATTTATATCATGGACTCATAGATATTTATTTTATATTTTAGGATATAACCCAGTAGTACTTTATTTATTTGGTTGTTCAAATTGTTCCAGCTTTAGCCATTGGGAGCTCTTTTTGTTGACTCTTGAGTCCTTTTGACATACTCCCATAATTGTTTTTGTTGTTATTGTTGTTGAGCACTTTCTTACTTTCTGGCAGTATAAGATGCTCCAGCGCTCATCTTGTATATTTCCTGGCCCAGGCCTAGATTCAACTTTTTCTTGAAGGAGCCCTGGTTCTTTTTATTGGGGAATGATATTAGAAACCAAGATCTGGGTGCTAGGTGTGCTCATTGCTACTAGGTATTATTGCTTCTGGGCCCTTTCAGCTGACAGAGCAGGGAAATACCTGTGTATATACTAACCCATGTATATGCACATATCTATAAATATTTCTATTGTATCCATCCGCATTTATATTAAGCTAAACATGAGGTCATACTGATGTCTCCAACTCTAATCCACTACCACATGGATCATTCTAGTCTTCTCCCCTTGTCTGTAAACTCTCAGTCCAACAGTAAGAAACTTGGCTCCCATCATCCATTTACTTAATTATTCAATTCCAGTATATACATGTACCCGTTGCTGTCGAGTTGATCCTGACTCATAGCGACCCTATGGAACAGAGTATAACTGCCTCATAGGGTTTCCAAGGAGCCACTGGTGGATTCAAACTGCCGACTTTTTGGTTAGCAGCCGAGCTCTTAACCACTGTGCCACCATGGCTCCTGTATACACGTGTAGTGTTATCAAAATTAACTTGCACTATGGAGAAAAACAACTTGAGCAACAAGAATACAGTGCTTATATTCAATTTCTTTTGCCTTAGTCTTACAATCTCAACTTATTTCCATATCTACTGAGGTCAGCACCGTTTCTCCTCACCCTATTCAGTGAGGTTATTTCACACACTTGTAGTACAGGTTGATTCTGTCACAGTCCTCATTCTGTCCTGGGATACCCTGCCTGACCTTCTAAATGATCTTTTAAACTTTGCATACATTAAGGTTCATTCTTTGTGCTGTAAATTTCTGTGGGTTTTGACAAATGCGTAATGTATCTACTCATGTATCTGCTATTGCATTATCATACAGAATAGTTTCACCACCCTAAATATCCCTGTGCTTCACTTATTCAACACTTCCCACCTCCCCAAACTCCTGGCAACCACTGATCTGTTTACCTTCTCTATAGCTGTGCCTTTTCCAGAATGACATATAAATGGAATCATACAGTATGCAGACTGGTTTATTTCATTTAGCAATAGGCATGTAAGATTCATCCATGTTTTTGCATGGCTTGATAGCTAGTTATTTTTCCTAGGAGCTTTGTAAACAAGACAGACGCCCTGGCTCCACCCCCAGAGATTCTGATTTCATTAGTCAAATGTGGGGCCTAGGCACTGGTGTGGGAATGGAGGCATACTCCTCCTTTACTTCTTCCCTACCTCAGGCATAAGCACGTGCACAAGTGCAGGTGTATGCGTGCATGTATGCATGTGCACACACATACCAGTCCAAGTCACTGGTGGCTGTGCTGATGGCTTGAGGCAGTGGTTTTTATAGATTTGGGTGTTTGAATGAGGGTGACAGAAGATGACAAGAATTTCAGGACTGCTGAGTGGGATTAGCTAAGAAGTCTCCAGAAAGTTGGTGCCTTGGTTATCTTGCCAGGTTAAATCTCTACCTCCTGGTTCACTGGAGAACAGAACACATACAACTCTTCTCTTCCTCTCCTGTCCATAAGCAAACACAAGAGGCTCTGGGAGTTTTCTAAGGGGTATGATTTCTGTTTTATGTTGGGGGAACCAGGATGAAAATGCTCCCTCCTATGCTCACCTTAAACTTTATAAGAAAGGCAGTTGTCCCATAGCTGATATATGGCAGAGGAACTCTAAAAAGAATGTTGTTCCAGCATTCCACCACAGAAGCTGGACTCTAGAAAAAAAGTAAGATAGAGCAGATGACGTGCTAGTGATGTCAAGTTCATGTCCACTTAGGCCCTCTGCCCCAGAAAAGCAGAGAGACAAGAATAACACAGATGATCACTGTTCTCTTGAACTCACACTAGTGTTTCCACTTCATATCCATCCATGGACCAAGAGACAGGTGGAAGATAGAGATGCAGAATTCTTGAAATGACTAGGTCATTCCTGGAGCTGGAGCCCTTGGTTTTAAAGGCTTTAAAGGGATATGCATGTGTCAGACACAGCTGGATGTTCCTAGTATCTGGAATCCATCTAACCAGAAAGTTTGTTAATTCTGACTTTTAATTTTAAGAAAGTTAAAAAAAAAAAACACCTTTATGAAGGATTTTTTTTTTTTTTTAATTCCAGGGAACAATATATAATTAGAATATATTTAGCATACTTTATATATCTTCTAGTAGCTGGTGGATTCAAATTGCTGACCTTTTGGTTAGCAGCTGAGGTCTTAACCACTGGGCCACCAGGGCTCCCTTCAAATGCTATTTAATGATAGATGATCTTTATGATGAGTACTGGTTAAATGTTTTATGTAGCACCAAATATGACTTTTATATACATTAGGCAGAGTTATAGAAAGGGTTTTTGATATTATTCATCTTTTACTAATTTTTAAAAGTTAGCAATTAGAGTAGGGTAGGTATGATAACTTTCAAATAATTGGCATATTTCATTAAACAAGGCACCCTATTTCACAACCACTCTAATAAATAATGTATTCTCTAATTAATTAGCAAATAAAATTTTGAGTGCAAGGGCAATCCGTGGAGCAATTGGGCTGGGAGAACCAGTTAACTATTAAAATGGTCTTAAAGGAAAAGATAATCAGCATATAGGTAAAGATTAATCTTTCTGTTTTGGAAATTGGGTGCAAATATGTGGGGTAAGACAATTTTTCCATATGCCTTGAATGGTTCCAAAGAATGAATGCATCACTTACCCCTATAGTAGAAGCCATGTAATCTGAGAAGATCTTGGCAAAGTCTCTCCCCATTATTCTGTAGTAGAGGCCATAGAACAAGGATACAATGCCAAAATCCATGGAATCTCTAGCCTTGATCCTATTGAAACAACAGTATAAGAAGATAAGGATGTGGCATTGGGGGTGGGAGGGAGGTAGAGCTCCAAAAATATTTCCTGCCATAGTGCATAGTGTCTAACAGACTCTTGTGGGTGTTTATTTGTTTAGGCTTTTTTTTTTTTTTTTTAATTAAAGAATTGAAAATTCTCTAAATTCTCCTCAAATTTTACCACTCAAGGCTAACTGGACAAAGGAATTCTTGAGATAGTCCTTCAAAGCTTCTTAGGACTGCAGGGCTTAGACAAGCAGACTCTAACCAGTGGTTCTCAGCTCCGGCTGCACAGAAGAAACCCTGGGGAGCTTGTAAAAATCTCCATCTCAAGGCCACAGCCCAGGCCAATTACATCAGAACCTCTGTGGATATGACCTGTGCAGCAGTATTTTTTGAAGCGCCCCAGGCTCCAGGTGTTCCAATGGGCAGCTAAAGTGGAGAACCACTTTAGCAGAGCAATGGTTCTCAGCCTGGGGAGATTTAAAAATATACTGATGCATGTGCCCCACACACCCTCAGGGACTCTCATTGGTCTAGGGTGGGGTCTGGACAGTGGTATTTTTTAAGAGCTACTCTGGAAATTCTACAGTACAGCTAGTGTTGGGAATCACTGCTATAGAGCTTTAGATTTTACAGAATGCATTAAAATATTTTACCTTTTCTAACAAGTGTGTGAGATACATATTATTACCCCCACTTTACATTTGAAAAAAATGGGTAGAAAAAATGATTTGTTTAACATGACAAGCCTCGAAGTTTGAGGTCCATAGTTGCCATGTGTTGATAAAAAGTTTTTTTGCAAGTTGAATCATATTTCAAATGTACTAGGATTCTCTGTGATAATTATTTAAAAAGATGGATCTCTTTAAAAGTGAATAAACCCCCCACCAAAAAAAAACCCCATTGCTGTTGAGTCAATTCTGACTCATAGCGACCCTATAAGACAGAGTAGAACTGCATACAGGGTTTCCAAGAAGCAGCTGGTGGATTCGAACTGCTGATGTTTTGATTAGCAGCCATAGTGCTTAACCACTGTGCCACCAGGGCTCCTAAAAGTGAATAATTACCCTTAATTTAATCATTGCACATTTAGTTGACTATACTGTAAAGAGTCTCAAATACTTGTGGAGAGTCTGGGTAGGTCTGATTGAGACAGGGAAGCTAGTGGAGTGTGGAAGTGTTATCTTGGAACCTTCTGTCTGGCTTGTGCTCTGTTAACTTGAGGAGGAAATGGTAAGGGCAGAGAGTTTCCTAGACTTAGTGCAGATAGTTTGGTGATGTGAACTGGGAATCCCAACAAGGGTGGTGTTCTCATCCTTTCAGGATCTCCCTGGGTATATTGAATAATTAGGACAGTGATAATGAAGATAATTGAGACTATCTTCCCTCTATGTCCACAGGAGCTAATAATCTTATTGATAAAAAGTATAGTAACAAACTCATGGCCTCGTAGAAAAGAATCTTAATACAATGATAATCAACAACAATTAGTAGCGAAAAAATAGTTCCTTCCTAATCTGAAGGGTTAAGTTCTTGGTATACCACATTGTATAAGGATCTTAAAGTCTTATGAGGTAATAGACTTGGGACAACTATAGTCCCAAGTGACTTTCTAAAAGTCTTTACGAACAGTTTTAAATTCATTAAAATAAAGCAATATAGACAGTATGCAATATATATATATGTCTTTCAACATCTTAAAATAGCAATAATAGATCTGTACAGTTACTTTCTACCCTTTTCCTGCTAAGAAAACGTTAGGAGTTCCCTCTCTCAAAGTTCCACGAGGTGCTTATAAAATGCGATTGCTTTGTTGCCACAGGAAGAGCACTTTCCCAGGGGCTGACTCTCCATTCCATTGCCTTCCTTATTCTAAGAGTCAAGAGTTGCTGATCTCTACCATTCAATTTCTGTTGTAATCTCAGAGATTTAGAATAACTTTGATGTGACAGATATGCTGGGGAATTTGTATTTACACTGCTTTCCATGGCTGTGTGGTAAGACTTAAATCCCCTTTCTAGCACACAGGCTGGTTATGGAGCCTCAGCTCTGCCTGTGATAACATCATCCAAGGCTCATCTCAGCAACCACCTTCCTAATGGGAGTATGATTCTGAGTCATAGACACAATTATCTCTATGACCTTTATTTCTCCCAAGACTTTCTTGGGGTCATCTCTTTACCTCTTTCAATTTCTAAGCACTCACTATCCTCCTTTTCCAACTGTGCTCAACAAGATACAATGGATACCAAAAATGAAATTCTCGAGCAGTGCTATCCAGTAAAAATATAATGTGAGCCACAAACTTAATTTAAAATTTTCTAGTGGCCACATTAAGACAGTAAAGAGAAAATAGTGAAATTGATTTCACCAATATATCCAAAGCACTATCATTTCAACATATAATTGACATACAAATTATTTTTTTCATATTAAATCTATGAAATCTAGTGTATATTTTATACTTACAGCACGTCATGTCAGACCAGCCACATTCCAAATGCTCAATAGTCACAAGATCTAGTGGCTACAGTATTGGACAGCACAGTTCTAGAGATTTTAAGAAAGATATATAGAAGGAAATCTGGACATCAGAGAATTTTGTGGAAGGGAAATTTGTAGTTCAGTCAGGATTAATATACGACAAATGTGGACTTACTTTCAGTGGTGATCTTTTAAGTTTGCAGATTAAGTATAGATCCTCTTTAAAGCTTCTAATTTTAAAATGTTTTCTTCTGTAGGGCTTTTCTTCCTTGTCGAGTGGTTTCCCCCAGTGACAAGACTATATGGGATATATACTGTAAATGATGTGTGCGTGGGAAATCACAGGGCCAAATGTTGTTTCTGGATACAGAGAACTTAACAGGTGAATGTTCCAAGAAAGTGCTTTTGGAGATATTAATGTCTTCATTGGAGATACTTACTTGAAAAACAAATTGAATCCACACATTGTAAACATGATAGCCAAATAACCCACAACACCAAATGCATAGCTGAGTTTGTAGATTAGAAGAAACCATTTGTAGACCAATCTGTGAAGTGAAAAATTGGGAGAAGCACAGGACATGATACATGATATTTTATCTTTTCTAAACATTGTTATAAATCAGTTTTAGTTTCTAAAATTCAATTATTATATACAGAGCATGAACATATCAGCTAAACTCAATCTATAGTTTTAATATAATATTCACAGGCAGTATATTAATAGTACTACCCTGAAGACATGTTTATATGTCTATGCATATGTAAATTCATCTTAATTTTATATGTTCCTCACGTAAAAATGCCTTTAGGAATGGGTGCTCTACCTGGGACCTTGCCTATCCTCCTCCTATCCCCTTCTCATGTGGCTTTAGGGTTAGTAGAATCATTTTTGGCAGGAGTACCTTGGAGGCAAGCAAAAGATGGGATGAGAAGTCAAGCAGAGAGACCCTTCCCCCAGCAGTTTATCTTCCCTCCTGCTACTGTGTGCCTCAGCCCCCAGCCCCAGTGAATAAATTATCAGGAATAGGCCTAGCCCCCATCCATCTCCTCTCTCCTCTTCTCTCAAAGAACCCCTCCCCTAGCCCTTGGGATGACATTACAACAGAGATTCAGTGTTGTTCCTTCTGCTATGTGGATGGGTTCCAGCACTCACTATGACCTCTCCTGAGGCCCTGCCTTCTTCCCACAGGGCCTAAGGGGAGAAGCGAGAGGATGAGGATGGAGGATGGGTGTGGAGATGATCTAGAGGGAGCCATTTACCCTGCTTATTCCCATCTTTACTAGCAGTAAAAGCCCTTAGAAAAAACTACACAAAAGGGCCACAGAGCTGCTGCATGCCTGGAAGGATATGGGGAAAGTCTGGGGGCCCAGTTCCATTCCTGGGAGGCCCAGAAGAAGGGTTATGCCAACTGGAAACAAGAGGTGGTGGAAGGAGAGAGAGAAGCTGGAGGTGGATCATTGGTGCTCAGGGAGGAAAAGAAGGGGGTGGCTAGAGTGCTGTTCACAGGGCGTAAAATGGCAGGAGGCCCTGTTTGTTCAAAACGCTTTCCCTCTACACCCTCTTGAAGCCCCTCTCCAGCCTTTCAGACCCAACCTCATTCAGAGTCTTGCTCCAGAGATGTGGCCCTACCCTCTCATCTTAACCCGTGGAGCCTGGTCCCTACTCTCTCATCCTCCCCAGCTTCCTCCTTGATGGAACCATTGCACCAAATGCTTAAGTTCTAGATATTACTGATGTAATATTTCAATATTATTATAAAAGATGGCCTGTTTCATTGAATTCCATTTAGAAAGGACCTTCTGAAACATGATTGTTTAAATGAGGGCTTGTGGGCTAGCCTGAGAAGTGACCTGCCATTTACAGCATTTCTATGGTGCAGTGCTTTCCACCTCCCAAAGAGCTAACATGCAAGGGCCACCGGTACCTGCCCCAACCCCACACGGGAGGCACTCCTGCCCCTTGGGAGGGGTAGGCAATGGTGAGTGATGTGGAGGGGGAAACATGTACCGGCGGCACAAGTCCACTTATAACCGTTTTGCCTAGTCTCCATGGGGCTGTGCCATCTCCAAATGGGGCCAGGGAGTGCTTTTGAGGTCTTTTTGCCACACTGACTGCTTAGGCCATCAGTTCTTTCACTCTGCCAGTGCTGAGCAGTTTGGATCATTGCTCACTGAACTCAGATCAAGGTGGAAGTTTATGTTGCAAAATGAGGTGGTGATGGGAAAACAGAGAAGCTGTGAGATGCCCCACCCCAACAACAGCCAGCACCAGTGTGTGGGTTCCTTGAGCTCCGCACTTTCTAAGCATCCTCTCTCCTTGCCTCAATGGGCCCTTCTCAACGTTTGCCAGCAGTAGAGGTCCTCCATGACTAAAACTTTCTAAAGTGAAGGGCTTCCCTATGCAACGCTGTTTGTTTGATTTAATTACGCCCCAGCCTGCGGTTGAGAGCATGGCTTTGCTGTCAGGTAGTGTTTGGTTTGGGTCTGGGCTCCACCGCTTACTGCCTGTGAGAACTTGGTCAGCTTACTTGGCGTTTTTTCGCATGATTTCCTTATTTATAAAGTGAGGATAAGAACACTAGCTTCAAGGATAGTTCTGAAGATGTTGTGAGATAGAGTACTAATGTTTAAAGGACTTGGCATACTAAATGCTCAATATATTATATCATTGTTATGGATGTGTTAGATTTTCCAACTCTCACCCTCCTCCTCCCAAATCTTCCCGCTTATTGGGGGCACAATTTTCCAGGAGCACTAGAGCCCAGAACATCCTTGCTACTCAAACTTACACTGTTAGGCAGATAAGCCAGAAAAGAAATTTTGTTACTGCTTCAGAGCAGCTTCTACAAAGGAAAGCTGGCCTTCAGGTTGGAATTGATGTGGTCAAGCCCAACTCTTTGTGGCTGGCATGTGGCCTGGTTTTGAACCTGAACTTCATTGCTTAACAGACAACCCTGACTGTTGTAGAGGGAAACTCACTCCCCCTTCTCTGATACTCCATCCCACTGTTAAACAAACCTGTTGCCGACGAGGCGATTCCCACTCATAGTGACCCTATAGGACAGAGTAGAACTGCCCCATAGGGTTTCCAAGGAGCAGCTGGTGGATTTGAACTGCCAACCTTTTGGTTAGCAGTTAGGTGTGGTTTAATATGCTATAGGAGAGGAACAACTGGTTTTTTCACTTTGTTGGTGCCAGAGGCCACTCCTCTGGTGTTTGTCTTCAGGGCCAATACTGCTTTGCTCCCGCCAGCTCTCCTAGCCTAGTCTGGCTTCCAAATGGAAAATACCTATGGTGCAACTCATTTATAATATGATCATTAAACAAAGATCCAAAAAGATCCATAGAACTTAAACCCAGCAAAACCCTGTTCCGTTAAGACCGACTCATAGCGACCCTATAGGACAGAGTAGAACTGCCCCATAGGGTTTCCAAGGCAGTAATCTTTATGGAAGTTGACTGTTGGCATCTTTCTCTTGTGGAGCAGCTGCTAGGTTCCAGCCACTGACCTTTCGGTTCGCAGCCGAAGGCTTAGCCACTGCACCACCAGGGCTCCTTCCTTAGGACCTGTCATATATAGGAGCTCTTTTATCCTGACTTCTCTAGCAGAAAAGGTCTTCATCAACCCCTCCCACTATTGTCTCTTCAAATGGTAGCTGGGTCTCCTTTGGAATGACAGTGGAGTCTGTGGGCTTTCAGACTGTAACAATGGGGCTGTGCTCTATGCAGGCAAGAAACACTGAAGTGGCTGTGCTGTGGTATGAGAAGCAGAGGGCTTGGACCCTGGCCATCTGAGATACATGGGCCATGGAGCGTAATGAGGCAGGGTTTGGGTATTTCATCTCATGAAGGTCCTCTACACTGAGAGTACTGATATGCACAGAAACACTGCATTCAACTAGGCTAATTCACTGTGTAGTGGAAAAGTGAAGTGTTCTCACTGAAATATAATATAGATTACACCCGGGGAAGGGGATAAAATGATTCTTCCAAAACTCAGAGCACTGTCACAAATCTTAGATAACTTACAGTGTTTTGTAAGCAGGAACAAGGATGCCATTTGTCCATTTTACCCATGGATAAACCAGGCCCTACAAAGGCTGTCCAAGACCCCAAACCGGCCAGTTTAGAAGATCTCCTAACACCACCCCAATGCTCTTCCCCAAATGGGATTAAATTAAAATACCCATAAACCTGAATTCACTTACTTGCCTTTCAGTCTTTATCATTACACTTATTTAACTGATTTCCCTTGCTGCCTCTTTTTCCTTTTTCTCCATGCTAGAAGGAAACATTGATATTTGCCTCTCCCACTTTTTTTAAAGGATAAAAATAAATATCTAAATGGCTAAATAATCATAAAAAATCACACAGGATCTTACGATTTATTCTCCAACAGAGATCAAAATTTGACATTGTTTTATTACCATTTCACATTTTACATACTTTTTATGCATCTCATTTCAGTTTATACGAATGAGGATTCTGATCTTGTTTACAGAACAAGGAGAATGAGAGCAAACTTGTAAGCACATTACTTGATTATGAAGCTCTTTGGAAAGATTTTTGAATGATATGATGAAATCCTATAAACCTCAAGAGGTTGGCTATAGTAATTAAAATGACCATTGGAGTATTAAAGCCTCATTTGTTATGAGAGTAATAAATTGTCTGTTACTTATGATTCATCAAGTTGAGGTTGCAATACATGCTTCTAACTTGCTCTATTTTAAAATGTGTGCAGCACAACTTACAGAAGACTAGAGCAAAATGCTGAGCTAAAAATATACACGCAAAGAATGCTCTAGAATTGCTAAACAGTAGTTTCACTTTTCTTTCTCCTTGCCTTCACTAGCATAATATCTGAAGTAATGAATTTCACGGGGCATGACTTAATTGCCAATAAGAAATGAATGTGAACTAACAGCAGTACAGCTTATCTCCAAAATGTTTTGTTACTGAAGGTAGAAGAAGTTAACAGCCCCCTGCCCCAGGAAATTGGAAATTAAATATACTTTTTAATGCTTAAAATAAAAGGGGCCATGGGGAAGGACTGAATGAAATACATACTGTGGTGTTCTCCCTGAGAGGGGTTTCTGGGTAGCTCTGAAGAGAATGTAACTGGTAATAACTGAGAATATTCCCCACAGAGAGAGAAAGCGCCACCAGTAAAGTTTTATAGTGAAATACAAAGGGACAACCCACATCTGCAACAGGGTCACCAGCTGCCAGAGAAAGGAACAGAAAGGCGTAGTCAGCTCCTGTAGATGGCATAGGATGGCATCTCCATTATTAAACAATTCAGAAGCTACCCAGGGTAGGGTGGAGGGAAGGGAGGACCACCTTCAACATGATTTCTGTAACATGAAACTGGTTCACCAAAGACTCTAAGCTGCTCCTGGATAAGCAAACGTAGGAGAGAATTGGCACAATTATCTGAAAATTCATATGGGAAATAGCCCCCCAAATTCTCATCTTCTGTCACATCCTTTCATCTGGATATTTCAAATGAAAGCAATTTTGGGCCTCAACAGCTATGTGATGTTGGACAAGTGAGCCTCCCGTTAGTTGTAAAACGGGATAACAATGCTGGCCCTGCTTCCCTGTGCTGACTGAACCAGCAAAACAAGTTGCCATCGAGTCAACTATGACTCACGGTGACCTCATGTGTGTCAGAGTAGAACCGTGCTCCATATGGTTTTCAATGGCTGGTTTTTCAGAAGTAGATTGCCAAGCCTTTCTTCTGAGGCACTTGAGTGGACTCAAACCTGTAACCTTTTAGTTAGCAGCCTATCAAGTTAGGCATCTGTACCACCCAGGGGCTCCATGCTGAGTGAGGTGGGAATCAAATGAGACCACAGATGGGAAAGCACTCTGAACCCCACATGCACTATGCAGAGCTCAAGGGCTGTTGTTATTCTCATCTGCACATGTGAAAGTGCATAGTGGATGTCAGAGGAGGAACTGCTGGTCAGTGATTCAGAGTGGCTTCCGGGGCCTCTTCTGCCTGCTGCTCTACTGTGTTCTGCAGTGTTAGCGCTCGAGTCACAGCTGTGGGGTCACCTCGTCCCTGACTGTTGGATTTGCAGCCATGCATCTTATCTTTGCTCTGTAGGTCCCCGGTGCCTTTTCCAGGCAGCCCAAAGGGTGGATCACACTCTTTCCTGTTCCTCTGTCTGTGACGGCTTTGTGGCCTGTGCCACTGACCTGAGTCCAAGGGGCCTTCAGCTTCAGCAGGTGCTTTAAGCTGGCTGCAATCCCACAGGGGAGGGTGCTAGATAGACCGAGTTGATGGGCTTTGGGTCACTGACTTGATATGGTTACCATACTAACACTCCTAATCTTCAAAGCAGGCTTAATACCAGCTATTTACCTCTCTTGTGAAAGCAGACAGGTTTAAACAATAGCAGTAACTTTTGGTCTTCTGTGTTTTATCACCTTCAGACTAACTACCTGTTATTCACCCAGAGAGGACATTGGCGGTTCAGTGGTAGGATTCTCACCTTCCACGTGGGAGACCCTGGTTTGATTCCCGGCCAATGCCCTTCATGCGCAGCCACCACCCATCTGTCAGTGGAGGCTTGCGCATTGCTATAATGCTGAACAGGTTTCAGTGGAGCTTCCAGACTAAAACAGGCTAGTAAGAAAGGCCTGGAGAACTATTTCCAAAAATAAGCCAATGAAAACCCTATGGATTACAACAGTCTGATCCACAACTAATCATGGGGATGGCGCATGACCGGGCAATGCTTCTGTTTCGTGCCGGTCACCATGAGTTGTCCCAACTCCATGGCAGCTAGTAACAACAACATTCACTCAAAAGGAATTTAAGAGGGGGAGAGCAAAGAGGTTTTGTCTCAGGTACGGGCTTTAGTTCATTGTTAGCAGCACACTGCAATACTCTGTTGAGAAGGATTCTGAGGCGGCTCCTGGTTTAGTGGTAAAATGTCTCATGTTAATTATGTCTGCCTGGGGTGTGGGAAGAGTTGTTAGGCCATGCATGTCACATATTTGTCATCTTGAGTATAAAAAAAAGACATATCATTTGCTTTCTTTATCTTCTTAATCTTTGTGATAAAAGAGGAAAGCTTAAAAAAAAAGTCTACTGATATATTTTTGGCTCCTTTAGTAGGTCTTGGTCATAAGGGTCTAAGATCAATAACTAAAAACATTTGACAGGACTTTAACATATAAATTAAACAGGCAAGGCCACAGACATTTTTCTCTCCATGTCAAATAAAAAGACATTTCCTAGGCTCTCCTTCTCTTTTTATTGTTCCATCCCCATAAACAATCTGATCTAAAGTCTCCTTAGAGTTGCTCTAGATCTTGCAGAGGACACTACAGTTGTTATACATATGCATTTGAACAAAAATACACATGGGCAAACCTGAGGTAAATATCCCAAGAGTTCAGCAAAAAATATTCTATAGCCACTTTTTTTTTCTTCTAAATTCCAGGCAATGTTTTAGGGAAGAGTAAGTTTATTTACTCTTATCTGAATTAGTCAGTTAATTTCTTTAATTTTCCATCCCACTTTATGGGTATGGTCAAAGCTACTGAATGAGTTAGCACCTTTATTTATAAAATTTAAATAAAGATATACACATAAATAGGGAAAAAAAGGCTTTACTTAAGAAAGTAGAATAGCTTTCAAGAGGACCAGGAACAACATGCTAGGTTACCAAATCTAAAGACATAGCTTACCTTAGCACTCAACATTAGCAACTTCAACCTAGTACTATTGATAATAAAAGTGTTCAACCTTTTGAAAAAAATCACATCTGTGTTTTGGTCATTTATTTCTTACATTTGATTATAGAGATAGTTATCTGTTATAAATTACACATTTACTGACTTTTAAAGTCAGTTATTTATGATATTAAAGAAGGAAACAGGCATGAAATCCATCTTTCAAAATTTGATCAACCATTTGCATGTTCATCTTTCTGTTTTAAGAATTTGATTCATTTTCACATTTCCCCCATAAAAATGCTGACTTTTTTAAATAAAATGTTAAGAATCACTTAATTTTCATTCAGAGTAAAACTACATTCTCTTAAATTTTATACTTTAGGTCATGAACCAAAGTTGATGAGACTAATAGATTTCCTCTAATTCATGGAGTTGCCATCTACAATGGTTTGGAACTACTATTGGACATAATTTAATAAAACTAGTTCTCTCCCTATGCATCTATAAATATGACCCATTTCTGCTATGGTTGTTAGGTGCCGTTGAGTTCGTTCTGACTCATAGCAATCCTACGTACAACAGACGGAAACACTGCCCGGTCCCGTGCCATCCTCACAATCGTTCCTATGTTTGAGTGCATTGTTGCAGCCACTCTGTCAATCCATCTCCTTGAGTGTCTTCCCTTTTTCGCTGACACTCTGCTTAACCATTTCTAGAAGATCCCAAATTTCTCTTCATTGATGCCTAGATTTAATTAACAGTGAGTAACAATGCTCAGTGTATAAACATGGTACTTTTAAAAGCAGACTTTGGAGATCAGAAATGAAATTAAAGCAGAAAATCATTATATTATGTATGCAAATATCTTAACTGTCTTTAAAGTGTATACCCAGCACCACATTTTCTCAACATGCACGGGGAGAGGTTAGAAATTTGCATTATGAATTCAATAATTGTTATGAGAAGTCATTTTTTAAATGAGGGCCACGTTTCATAGCAATTTAAAAGTTTATCAATTTCCAGAGCAGTTAAAACATCTCATTTTTAATAGTAACTGCCACATATGAAATGTAGGAATGCTGTACCTCATAAATAAACACATGAAATATGTGAAATTGAGGCACATACATGCAAAGGAGGAAGGCTGGCACCTGGAACACATTAATAATGCCAGAGGGGTCACCATCTGGGCATGCGCCTGTGAAAACCATCTGCATTACTTTCGAGGGCAGCCCATGCAGCTGGATCACATCACCCATATTCTCCCCACCCACACATCGTAGCAGGAGGAATTTTCTGATGAATCAGATGCTGCCCAAACTTACCATGCTTTTTCTTGTTACCGTCACAAAAATGAATCTGAAAAGATCTGCAAATCAAGTAGAAATAAAGATATCTTTTCATTGGTCTAATTGTACAGAATGATGAATGGTCCATGAAATATTAAAAAAAGAAAGAAGTCATGTGATGCTCATTCCCTTTGCACTGCAAATCCCTATTTGCAACCACTTGTGTGTGTGTAGGGGTAGGGGATGGGGGTAGAGGGAGTACAGGGGGATGCTCAGAGGTAAGCAAGAGCTTATAATGTAAATAAATGACTCTAGAAAACATTGTTGCTATCAGTACCAAGGAGCCCTGGTGGTACCGTGGTTAAGAGCTGTGCTGCTAACCAAAAGGTCAGCAGTTCGAATCCACCAGCCACTCCTTGGAAACCCTATGGGGCAATTGACAGTGAAGGAATGTGTGGACATAAATCAAACAGGAAAAAAGTACGGAATCTTGGCATATGGGCGACCCTTAGAAATTCACTTGGTCCATATTCTATCTCCAAGTCAATCCAAATTGTTGATTTTATTTAAATTCTTGAAGGAGATTCTGCAGTGTTATGTATGTATGTATGCAAACATGTATGTATTTGTACTTTGCTTCATTTTAAAATGATTTGAGCAGACACAATGCTTTACTGGCAGAGTAATATATTCTAGTGTTTCATAGCTATTAATAGGCAGGAAGTTTGACTTAAACAGAGAAATGTTTCAATATGTGGCAAATTATTTGCCTGGGTATTCAGGCAAGTTAAGAGTGTGTATGAAACCCAAATTCTGTGTGTGTAGTTATCAGGCCTTCTCATCCATTTGAAGAGAAGCAGAAGGATTCTATTTTGGCAGCACCTCACCTCTACTTCCTGCAGATATGAAAAGTAGGATGCATAAAAAAAGTGGGGAGAGTGTGAATGAAATTTGATTTCTAAGTAAATTATGTTAAAAGTACTTGGAAATAATTTGACTTTGAGGCTCTGACCAAGTTTATGCCATATTAGACTATGGCTGGAAGAGAAAAATTCAAATATCCACATGCTTGGTCTACACTGTGCTAAAAATGTGACTATTTGGAAACATTTAGTAGTATCCCGAATAAAATAAGAATTTTCCACATTTTATCTGTAAGTTTTTAGATCACACAGGAGCAGTTAATGTATATTTTTAAACTTTATTTTATAGATACTAATTTCTTTTACTTATTTATAAGC